AGTCTTGTTGAAGGAAATACTGTTGGGGTGGGCTTGAAGTCTTATATGCTCAAACAACAGCCAGTGTGGTACAGTCTCCTGCTCCAGCACTGTGTCTGCCTGTATGCCTGTATGATTCTTGCCATGATGATAGTAGACTAAGTCTCTGAACTGTAAGCCAGCCCCAATTAAATGTTTTCCTTTATAAGAGTTGCCATGGTCATGGTGTCTCTTTGCAACAATACAAACCCTAAGACACAAGTGTAGTGTCTACTAACTTGGTTTTCAGTCAACAAGTATTTTCTAAAATGATACTGAGTTGGGCTGGGCAGTGGTGGCACACAACTTTAATCCCAGCATTAGGGAGGTAGAGGCAGGTGGATCTCTGTGAGTTCAAGGCCAACTTGGTCTACAGTGTGAGTTCCAGGATAGCCAAAGCTATACAGAGAAACCCTAACTTGGGAAACAAACAACAATAACAACAAAACCCAACAACAAAACAGAATAAATAATGATAAGTTGGGCCTGTGTGAAAACAGATGTGGCCTTTGGCCAGATTAACACCAGCTATCTCCAAATAACTACTGGGATATAGAGAAAGAGTTAATTAAATTCATCTGCTTACAGCACTTTATAGACACTGGTCTGCATAATCGAGCTATTATATCCACATCTCATCCGATTTTCCTTCAGAGGCAGCCATAAGAATGTACTTGACATGTGTTTTAATTCCTTTTTGTGAAATGTATTTTGTAGTTTTGTGGGCATGCACTTTTAATTAGCATGCTTGTATTATGTCACACATTTGTTTCAATCATGACTGCCGTGGATTATACCACAGGAGCAACGAGTTGCAGTTGAAGTTCCAGGTGTCAGCCCAGCAGAAGGGAACCCCCTGATGGGCCAATCTCCTTTAGGCAAGGCCACAGGACTGCAGACCCCACCTGTTTGCTGTGGCTCCCTTTCTCTGGTATCTAGTATAGCGTGAGTGGACGTGGGGAGATCCCCACTGCCTGCAAGTGTGTTTATCTCTTGGAAACATCTCGTTCTACTGGGCATTTTTACCTGTGGATTGTCAAGACAATGACTTTTCCCTAAGCTGTACTGTCTACTTTGATAATAATAACAATGGCTTATACAGAGTTTTGATGAATAAAAATAAATACAAGGATGTTTCACAGCCAAGGTCTGTGAGTCTCACCTAAGGAGCTGCATGGATTGGACCTCAAGTTTATGACAATTGACAATCAAATCCCAATAGCTAGTTTAAATTCTTTTAACCTAAATGTTGGGAGATGTGTTCACGGGTCTTGGAGTGCATCACAGCTGAAACAAAGCTGTGGAAATAGCAAAGCTAGACTAAGATGTTTTTGTTAAGTAACTTTGAGGTGAAAAACCCAAGAAGACAATCTAAAGTCTTAGAAGGGAACATAGTTGAATGTGAAACTCTTTAAGGTCAGGGAACAAGAACAAGGCAACCCAATTATTATTGGCTGATGTACTTTTCTTGCTAGACTTGGTTGATGACCAAAGGTGATGATTAATTCTTTATACCCATTTATGTCCTCAATCTCCTGCTGAACTTCCCACAGGGCAGGAAACCCTGACTGCTCTTAGGGATGGAGAGGGAGGAGGAGAGGGAGTGGGGGGAGTGGGAGGGTGTTGGGAGGAGGGGCGGAAATGGAAACTTTTATAATTTAATAAACTTTGAAAGAAAAAATAATAATAATAAAAAACTATTAATAAATGGATATGTATCCTAAAGATTTAAGTAGAACTGACTGATTCTTTTTCATATAAAGAAGCTTAGGTTTGTGATTTCTTTAAGATTCCTTTCAAGAGAAGTAATAAAGTAATTGGCCCTCTCTTTGTAACTGCAGAATGCAGCCTGCCAGTGAAAGACCTGACAAGAACACCTTGCTTGCCACGTGATTAATCTACAACAAGTTGCTAGGGTATGAATGCATGTGGGTTCTTGGGATAATTTATTTTTCACCTGTAATATACAAAATGTTTAATCATGTGAGGGAGATGAAAAACGTGTTTGTTTGTTTTTTTACCAATAATCATTCACTTCAGAAATGGAATGCAACTGTTTTGACTCTTGTACTGCCTGGAAGATTCTGCCGGGGTATAAAAGCCGTGAAACAACATGAAATGGTGAAAGAGAATAAAGAAGAGAGAATCAAGAAGGAAACTATCAAGAGAGTTTGTGAGTGCCTTTTTCCCTAACCTTCCTCAGATAGAAAAGTTTAGCCTCAGCAGCTTCGTAGATTCATGCCAAAGCCCTGTGCTGCTGGAGGCTGGTCCCCCAGACAGAGGTACACGACAGTATGCCTGATGTAAGAATTCTGCCCTTTGGGGCTAAAGAAATGGCTCAGCAGTTAAGAGCACTGACTGCTCTTCCAGAGGACCCGGGTTCACATGGCAGCTCACAACTGTCTGAAAATTCAGTTCCAGGGGATTTGACACCTTCACACCAATGCACATAAAATAAAAGATAAATAAATCATAAATAAAAAAATAATTCTGGCCTTTAATCTTAGTGAAATGGGGAGTCATTAGAGGGTTTTGAATTGAGCAGCAGCATGAAGTTGTGCGCTACAAGGAAATCTATGACTGCTATGCTGAATTAGGATTCAGGGATACAAACACAGAAGCCAGTGAGGGGCTGTTACACTAACTCTGTAAAGTTCAGCCGATGGCGTTAATGGGCACAGGTATACAGCATTTGAGTCTAGTCCCAGAACCACCTGCTAATAAATGAAGCCGAACCCGATACAAAAAACCAAAACAGACAGAAATACAATAGAAAAAGCCCCAAACTGACAAACACCTTGAGTTGCAAGTCACTAATAATAAAAGAAGTGCAGATTAAAATAATAATAAGACATCACTTTTGCTATTCAGGGAAAACTAGAAAGTTAACACTGAGATTCAAGGACTTGAGAATTCTCTTGTGATGTCAGTGGGAGAAAAAACCCAGCAGAGAGGACACTGTTTCGTTGGCCTGAGAAAGCGCATACTCGCACCACTCCGCAACACCTAAGAGTCACCCACCTGTATTATGTATGTTGCAGGGAAATTTCCCACAGGCTCTGTCTAGACATTCACTGTAGCATAGTTTGTGGCAATGGTGTCTGAGGGGAGGGAAGCCCCGGCCACAGTCACTCAAAAAGTGAATGGGTAGTGTGATAATCATTTTCACAAACTACCTTAACCTTTCTTCCAAACAGTCTGAAGACAGCAGAACTTTTAATATTTTAATAACATTCCCATTTTACAGGCTATAGAGTGGAAATTATCCCTCCTCCCGCCCCAAACACACACACACACACACACACACACACACACACACACACACACACA